GGAATTAAAAGTTCCGCCCTGTCAGCCCAAATAATGAGACTAGAAAAGCTGAAGCGCTTGAAAAGGCAGAACTACTATACCGCTTAGAGCAACCAAGTCCTATCGTCGATTCCTAACACAAGGTAACAAAAATGCTTGCAGAGAAAGGGCGGCAAGAAGATGCCTTTGAATTTCGAGCGCTAGAAAGTTAAAAAACAGCTGTTTCTGCAGTCAGAAGGGTAGTATTTGAGTTTTTCATGGTTTTTCTTTATATTTTTCTTTACTGGGCAGAAGATACCAGCTGACTACTCAATCAGGTGTTTGGTTGCCTATATTATAGATAAGTAAAACGAATGATCCATTCGCTCGCATTTTCGTTAACAATACTCTGTTTTCTCTGTGGACCAAAGGGTTACTTTTCCACAAAGAATGAAATCCACGATGAGACACTTGATCGTGCGCTATCTTGGCTGTAACAATGAAATGCAAAGAAGGATGCAATGATGACCAACCTTTCATGCAGATCACGAAATGATGAAAGAAGAAGGCAATCAAAAAAGCGAAAAATGATAAGCTGGATGCAAGCAAAAAGGGAGGAAAAGCGGACTTATACAGATGTATACAACCTTGAGCTGGGATAACTTTGCATCCTCAAAATAACGCGCTGTCCAACTGTTAACTTATGCTCGACAGTTTCCACTAGGATAGGTGATAAGGTGCACACTTTTTGATGCAGTGTGAGATAAACAGGTCGAGGCATTCGAAAATGTGTACGCCTTTTTGCATATCCATAGCGCGATTTCCGCGCCACATTCTAGTACTAATGTTTTCCTCCCACATATACGTCTTAATCTGTTTCAAGCTGAGACAGATTAAGACGTATTTGTGAGTAGAAAACTACAGATTGAGCTGGACTGTATCATCATGTGGAATAAAATTGATATGGTCGTCAAGCATGTGTCAGAACACATGATCACTTAGTCGGTCAACTCCAGCAATCTTACTTCTTATGCTTTTCGACACAATACCTACATCATTTCAATTTCTGCTTGTGTCATCATAGGAGCTCATATACATCTCCTAGAACGATCGCATCCTTCCATTTATTTTCCTGCATAAGGTGTATCCCCGTCTTCTGAGAAGAGCCATTGCAGGTCAGGGCTAGCTATTAGTGATGTACAAATCATTCTTCCTCTAGAGGTAGGTAAGGATTCTGAACTCTTTACTATAAATATGACGCTGGCAGTCTAACTTAAACATCGGCATCGGGCAATGTTCAAAGTTCCTAGAATGAAAATTCGGCTGGGATTCGT